AGTAGTATTCCATTGTATGAATATACCACAGCTTCTTTATCCAGTCATCTGTCAATGGACATTAAGGTTGTTTCCATCTATCCTTGGTCTTGATGAACATTTCTTTTCATCTCTGATTTCCTCTGTATAAAAACATAGGCAGTGGGAAGGAGAGAAGAAAATACTGAAAATTTCCCTGGACCTATATCCTTCTAGGAAGGGTCCCGTTCTCTGGAATGACTTTGAACTCTTTTTCAAGTTAATGATTGAGAGAGTTTACTAGATGTAAGTTACCATGCCCAGCAATCAGAGTCTAGGATAAAAGAGAGAAACAGGGACAGAAACAAATGGATTCATTAGGACCCAAATATTGGGCTGCAGCCCGTGGGGCTTCCCCACTTGGACCCCCACATCAGTCCTGACTTGCTTGTGGATCCCTGAGTATCACTCCTCTCCTGCCCACAGGGCATGACGAGTTCTCTCTAATTTCTAAAAGTATCAAAAGTCTCTGCAAGGTGAATGGCCAGAATCGGGATCTTCTAGTAGAGCAGGGATTCTGTAAACTCCCTAGACCCTGGAAAAGTGTGACTATCTATCAAGAGCCATCCGGAGAGGCTGTCAGATGAACCAGCATGTCTGTTCTTCTTGCCCTGCTTCTTGTTTCTCTGGGGCACGATTCACACATGCCAGCGCCCCAGCTCACGGGCCGTCTAGTCCAGCCCTGCATCCCGCCCGCCCATCTTGCTGGGGCAGTCCTCTGTGCAGAACTCAGCACATCCTGTTTGTTCAGTCCCCTTTGTCTCCCACTGGAGCAATAGGGAGAGAGGATTCCTCTGAGCCCCTTTGCTGTGAGCTTTGAAATCAGATCCTGGCACACCTGATTACACTCAATAGCTGGAAATGGTAAGGATGTCCGATGGACAGCAGGCTCTTGTTTTAAGCTCTGCACACCAGGAAGGCAGGGGCTGGGTCTCCTCCTTGGGGCTGCACTGGAGGGGGCAGGATGCTCCTGCAGGAAAAGCAAACAGTGTAACTGAAGGGAAATTCACTTGAAAAAGAACTCAGAGCACGACCATCAAGCAGCATATAAACTGTCCCCGAGGACACAAAGTGGAGCTTAGGTTCACTCCTCTCTCCTCATACATCCTTGGCTGGGAAATATTCAATTCCAGTAACCATCTGCTCAAGGGCCAGGAGGGTCAAACCTCTGTGTCCTTCCTTTTCTGTACAAGTGTTGCCACTGAGACCTTGGCAAAGGGAATAAAAACATAGCGACTTACATGCCACACAGTGGGAAGCTCAGCAGGCATTGGAACATTAAAGGGCAGCTCTTGTGCTTCCAGGAGCTCCTCAGCTTCCATGCACTGCAAGCTTTCCAACAGAGATGCTCCCCTAATGCACTAGTCCAGTGGCTTGAAAAGTCATTAGGAAAACTTCACACATACAAAAAGGCATAAAGAGCAACCTTGACCCACACCCAGCTTAAGAAAGGAAATCTTACTGATCCAGTTAAAGCCTCCAGTGCCCTCCCTGAACCCACCTTCCTCCCTACCTCCCCAGCAGTAACCTCTCAGCCATTCCGGGCATTTCGTTATACCCTGTACATTCCAGTGATGTGCGCAGCCCTCTTTGGGGTAATCACTTAACCCTTCGGAGCCTCACCGATTTCATCTCCATAAAGGGGCAATTGAGAGGATTAAAGAAAATGATTTATGATAAATATTTGGCTGTTAAAAGTCAGCAGAAAGAATTGGGTTAAATGCAAGGCCCTTCCTAGCCTGGCCCTGGACTTGCCTGGACAGCCTCCCCTCCTCTCTGCAGCCCTCCCCAGCCTTCCACATGCCATGTTCCCCAGACAGGCCACTTGCTTTCATGGCCAGCATGGTGAGCTTACCTGCCTGAAACGCTCATCCCCTGATTCAATCTTCCTTCACTTAAGGCTTAGATGTCAGCAACTCTGGGAAGCCTTTGCCATCACCCCAGGCAATGATTCCTGGTGCTCCCACGGCACTCTGCCTCAGTCTGAGCACTTGCAGTGTGCCCACCCCACTCTCTCACTGAGCTGGACTAGCCCACTGCCTGCTGGCCCAGGGCAGGCCCATGCTGAGTGTGTGAGTGCATGAGTGAATGAGTGACAGTTCAGGCATCAGACTTATGACTTTCTATCCAGTTTAACACGAAGTCCCCATGCCCCCAGTACTTCTTATAGGCAATTTTCTCCTCTAAGTTCCAAATCTTCTCTGTTCTGGAAGCACAGAACTAAAAGATCTCTTCGTATTTCTCAAAGGTGGAGCAAATATAATTGGAAACATGGACTTTCTACCTTCATAATTTCAACAGTTTCAAAAAGAACCCTGGACTGGTTTTGTGGAGGCCTTAAACATATTTTTAGCATGTTTTTAGTGTCTTGCCACTTGTGTTCTGTTTCTTCTTACAAGCCTGTAGAAATTCTTAAAGACAGAGAAATGTACAAACCCATTCATCTTGCTTAGAAAATCCACTCTACCGTCACAAACCCAAACTCTGGAAAATGACAACCTGGCTATTAGTGTGTTCTCACCCACACCCATTGTTTTCTGCTGGAATGTTTGGTTGCCACTGGGTAGACTCAGCTTTAGTCATGGAGTTTTAGAGGCTATGTCTCAGAAGTGGGATCAAGAGCAAGCCTGACAGTAATCTGCACCATAAGCCGATTCGGCACCCTGGCGTAGAAAATGGGCACACAGGTCTGCCCAGGAGGGAAATATGCCTGGAACACAAAGGTCAGTTTAGAGGGGGTTAACTTTTTTTTCATTTTTATTTTTTATCAAGGTGAAATTTACACAGCATAACCATTTTTAAGTGAACAAGTAAGTACATTCACAGTGTTGTGTGCAACTACCACCTCTATCTGGTTCCCAAACATTTTCATCACCCTGAAAGGAAACCCCCTACCCATGAGGCAGTGCTCCCCAAGTACCCTTCCTCTCACCTCTTAGAAACCACCAACCTGCGTTCTGTCTCTCTGGATTTACCTATTTCCAATATTTCATATGTATAGAATCTTACAGGGTGTGAACTTTTGGGTCTGGCTCCTTTCACTAGCATGTTTTTGAGATTCATCCACATTATAGTGGGCATCGGTATTTCCTTCCTTTTTATGGCTGAGTAGTACCCCACTGTATGGACATACCACCTTTTGTTTAACCATTCATCCACTGAATGACATTTGGGCTGTTTCCACCTTTTTGCTATTGTGAATAGTGCTGCTATGAATGTCTGTGT